AAAAAAAAAAAAAAGAACACCATACATGTGATGTGTCCAAAATAACCGAAAAAGAAACATCCTTGAGGTTGAATCGTGTGTCAAATTTAAGGGGAGAATCGTAATATATTCACAAGACAGGGCATCCAAGTTTCTTTTAATTTTCGCATATGAAAAAGTACAAAATCAAGGGTTTCCTTTTGTAATTTTCACAAGCTTGCAGCTTTTGTGCTTTTATTTTTTAAACCTAAACCACGGAATAGTTTTCTTTCCTAATGTGGCACATAAAATGTTCATAACCAGAAGAAATGTCAAAATGTTGTCCTCCAATGTCCATTTAAGAGGGAAAAAACCGCTTTATTTTATAACTACAAAGACCCTTCTAATAACTCTTTCTGAAGGGTATGTATCTAGGTATATGAAATTATGAAAGAAACTAAAGTTTCATAATTAGCCTCAAAATCTTACCACTCCATTCATGGCATTGAGCGCGGATTCTAAATCTTCAGCAGTAGAGAATGTAATAAACCCAAAGCCTCGAGACCTTCCCGATTCCCTATCGAAGATGACCTTTGCACTTAGAAATCCCGGTTGTGAAGCAAAGGCCTCTCTTAAGCCTTGAGAAAAGAGATTCCAGCTAAGATTCCCAGCATATATCTTATGAGGGCTATCAACAAAACCCTGATAGCCGCTCCCTTTCTTTGGGCTCATTACTTCCCTTTCTCCACCTCTTGGCACCTCAGGGAAGTTAACCTTTACAGTGCGGCCTCCAATTTGCTGAAAAATGCACATAACAGAAACTAAGTAACCAAAATAAACTCATGCATAAAAACAAGAAAGCTTGGCATTTTTCTTGGGCTAAATTAATACTTTATAGAGTGCCCTAGTTCCAGCTTCTGCTATAACAGTCATGGAGTTTTTCAAATACCTGTATAATGTAATAATTGCATCCCACCAGTCAAAATAAAAGAAATCTGCTTCAGTGCGATTTTTAGGTGCTTTTTTTGGTAGCATGCAACTTTAACAAGCAAAGTGATCAACATATAACAAGTCCCAAATTTACTATTCAAAGGACTACAACTCTAATTGATTGACAATTAACAGTCATCCTGTTCTACTAGAATGAAAATGCTACAGAAATATTCAACCAGCGGTGAGACATTATTAGTATCCCGAGCCACAAATCACATACGGGAACACAAAACCATCTCTGAAATCACAATGGAGCATCATCTATAACACTAAGAACAGCCACTTACAGCTCCATCAAACAGCCGGATTGCCTCTTTGGCTTCATCAACAGTTCCCATTGTAATAAATGCAAAGCCTCGACTCCTATCCGTAACTCTGTCATAGACAATCTTCAAGACAAACATGAAGGAGCATAATTGTACACTGACAACAATTATAATTAACCAAAATCAACAATGCAAACAATTAGCTGTCCATAAATGATTTAAAAAATATAATAGTTACAGAAAATACACAAGTCGAACTCCAATATTACTGATTCTTAACCAGCAACCACAAGTGAATGAGCTGAATTTGACATCATTTCCTCAGGAATAAACGTTAATTCACATTAACGTCAATGTTTTTTATATTGAACTTCATTCACAGAGACACATACTCCAGTTTTCTCATTCCCCTGCTTTTCTTTTATGTTATCAATTCCTGCAACCATTCAGGCTTGTAAAATAGCAATGTAAGCTCATACCAACCTTCAAGAAAATTCAGGTCTTCGGTAAAAGGCTTGCCAAATTTTAATTCTAATACCACAACACGATAAACAAAAAAAATGCCCACCAAAAGCAATAGTTATCATGTGCCACCGTCCCCCATGAGCAAGATGGGACATCAAACCGTTATCATTTAAACATACAAAATAAGCTCAATGATTTTCCGGTGAGATATTCTAACCTCCACAGAAATAACTTTGCCAGCTTCGGAAAAAATCTCCTCCAACTCCGCTGCCGTCATCGAGAACAGTAAGTTGCCGACGTACAATCTCCCTCCATCCGCGGACTCTGGCAAATTGAACTCTTCCTCCGCCGCCGCTGATTCCACAACTTCGTTTTCTGTTTCTTCGACTTCGTCTACATCCAATCCGACGCCATCAAATGCACTCGAGGCGCGTGAAATCGACAATCGAGAAATCGGAGAAAATGGGGAGTGGCTGA